AGACTTACTAATCGTTTACGGTACTTGACCTTCTTTGATTCTTAATTTCCCTTTTGGGATCATGAAGGAAACAGGGTCTGACACTGGGGTTTTCTCCAGTCGGACCCTGACAGAACAGCTGAGGGAACTGAGTTTGCTTAGTCTGAAGAAGAGAAGGCTTGGGGGACATTATTGCTCCCTACAACAATCTGATAGGAGGATGGAGCAAGGGGGTGGCTCATCTCTCCTAAGTAACAAGTGATAGGACAAGAGGTAATGGCCTCAAGCTGCACCAGGGGAGGTTAAGATTGGATGTTAGGAACAATTTCTTCACCAAAAGGGTGATTATGCTCTGGAACATGCTTCCCAGGGAAGTGGTTGAATCACTGTCCCTGGAAGTGTTGGTGGGGCCCTTAGTTACCTGGTTTAGTGGTGGACTTGACAGTCCTGGGGCTATGGTTGGACTTGATAATCTTAAAAGTCTTTTCCAACCTAGTTGATTGTATAGTTAGTTTTCTTGTGACTTAATAGGGCATGAGCCAGGGAAATTTTTTTTTTTGAAAGTTTAACATGCTTTGTTACATGTGCTTGAACTGTGTGAGCACTTTGTTTATGATGCTTTATCACCGGACTTGTCTTGATGTCAAAATCTTCACTAATGATTTCAAGGTTCATTGGTATATTGTTTTAGTAGTAATGAAAATACTTTCCAGAGTGAGAAATAAAGTAGTACAGGTGACATATCAATCACCAACCCCTCCACACCTTCAAAGTTTCGATACAATTCCAATCATCTGGATGCTATAGAACTTGGACCATGCAAGTAGTTTGCGCTGTTCTTGCGTTGTTTGTTTTTTGGGGTTGTTTTATTTTATTTTTTTTTGGGGGGGGGGGGGGGAGTGTTTGGTTTTTGTGTGTTGTTTGGTGTTTTTTTTTTTTCCATTTACATTGTAAAAACTACATTGCTGAGGTAGTTTGCCTGAAAAAAGATAGATTCAGACAGGCAGATTCATTGGGTAATTTTGGTTTGGGTATTACTCTGTAAAGATAAAACTACAGGATGTTAAACATAAAGATTTCATGTTGTTCCATCTCCCTATTTATAGCTGCTATGGGAGAGAAATATTCACAGTTCAGTGAACTTATTTTACAGTTTCAGAGGATGTGAAGTGCAGCACAGTTGAAGCTGAGTTGTATTTTGAAGGAGTTTGCACTTCCTCAAGACATTAATGTCTTCAGACAGTACGGAATACATGTGTATTATGGCCAAATAGGCTTGTAGTCAGTATTAGTATGATTTTGTTAAAATCCTAGAATGGTTGGGGTTGGACGGGACCTTTAAAGATCATCTGTTTCCACACCCACCCACCCACACACATACCCCCTTACTGTTGCCAGGGACATGTTTGCCTACATTAGGTTACTCAAAGCCCCATCCAACCTCACCTTGAACAGTTCCAGTGACGGAATCCACAACTTCTCTAGGCAACCTGTTCCAGTGTCTCACCACTCTCATCATAAATAATTCCTTCCTTCTAGCCAGTCTAAATCTACCCTTTTTCTTTTTAAAACCATTACCCCTCTTTGGTCCTATTACTACAGGCCCTGGTAAAAGGTCTTTTTCCATCTTTCATATAAGCCCACTTTATATATTGAAAGACCACAGTAAGGTCTCCCTGGAGCCTTCTCTTCTCCAGGCTGCACAATGCCAACTCCCTCAGCCTTTCTTTATAGGAAGAGGTGTTCCAATCTTTTGATCTTTTTTGTGGCTTTCCTCCTCTGGACCCACTCCAACAGGTCCATGTCTCTCTTGTCCTGGGATCTTTGTGTACCTTGTTATCATCTCTTCTTGTAAGTAGGCTGTATTGTTCATATAAATGCCATAACTTTGTATTAAACTGGGCACTACCTTAAGCTACCAACACAATAAACTGAGTAGTATTCATTTGGCTTTTGTTTAGAACTAGGTACATAAACAAGCAAGTTCTTGAAATCATTCAGGAACTGTAAAGCTCTTTTTCACTTTACAGCAAAAAAGGGTAGTCTCCTCTCAAACGCTTAGTTCAGTATTGTAAATACTTCTTAGTTTGGTGCATGTCATTTCATGCATGGAGATTGTATTTGGATAGCTGAGAAGTTTTGGACATAAGTGAGTGTCCTGGGTTCAGCAGTAGCAGTCATTTTTCTCCTTCTTAGTAGCTAGTGCAGTGTTGGGGTTTTGACTTTAGTCTGAGAGCAACGCTGATAACACCGATGATTTTGTTTTTTGCTAAGTAAAGTTTACTCTGATAAACTCGGTCTCATGCTCTGCCAGAGGAGGGGAAGCTGGGAGGAAACAGAGACAGGACACCTGACCCAAATTAGCCAAAGGGGTATTCCATACCACAGCACGTCATGCCCAGTATATAACCTGGGGGGAGTGACCCAGAGGGCCCATATCGCTGCTCAGGTTGGGCTGGGTATCATTCAGCAGGTGGTGAGCAATTGTATTCTCTCCCCTTGTTATTTCCCTTATTATTGGTGGTAGCAGTAGTGGTTTTGTATTGTACCTTAGTTACTGGACTGTTCTTATCTCAACTTGTGGGAGTTATATTTTTTTGATTCTCCTCCCCATCCCTCTGGGAGCGGGGGGAATGAGCAAGTGGATGCGTGGTTCTGAGTTACCAGCTGGGCTTAAACCTCGACAGTTCTTTGTGGCGCCCAAAGTGGGGCACGAAGGGTTGAGATAATGACAGATCTGAGCAGAGTGTGTCTAATGCTATTTGTGATAAGCATTCATTGTTTTGGATTAATGGTCACTTGTCACAATATTGATTTATTTGCTCTCAGAGTTGTTATGCTTGATCTCAGAGTCTCAGTATCTCATACCTTACTTACAGCCAGTATTTGCTGGTTTAGTGTTTATTGGCTGGAGGGCCTGGGCTAAGGTTATTGTTTCACTGTACTTCATGGTAATGACTTGTAATGCAGTAGACTCATTGATCATGAAACTGGTCTGGCTTGAGTTCCCAGTGTGGTCATCACCTCTATACTTTGGTAGGTATATAATGGAACTTTTTAGCTGTCTGTAGAGCTCGAGTCCTATAAAAAATAAGAGGTGTCTAAAGTGAGCAGTTACTGAACAAGGCAAACACTCATTCTGAGTAGCATTCATAGCTTCCCCTTTGTGATTTTTGCGGCTTCACTAATAGATCTTCCTTCTGTGTACCTGTAGAGTTCCTTTGGTTTTGTAAGGCTAAATGTGTTGCAATGTATAAGATACAAAGACTCTGAGCAGAGGACAGAGAACAAGTTTTGTGCTGAACCACCCTGCTGAACATGTGGGTATTTTTTCTATAGTGTTTTAACTACTTGTAGTTGATTTAGTTAAATCTTACTTTATCTTATCAACCAGTAATGGAAATAATGAAATCTGTGTGTTCAAGTTTTTTTACTTTGTGATAACAGATTTGATAGGTTTTTTGGTTTTGTTTTTTGGTGGTTTTTTGTTATTTTTTTAAAGTATGTTTCTAAACTTTTTTTCCTTATATAACTAAGGGGTGGTTAATGATATAGTGAGAATGCTTGTTTAATGGTTGGAGTCAAGTCCCAAGGTCTTTTGGATTTCTATTCAAACTTTTTGTGATATCTTTTATTTTAATTTCTAGCTGATAGTTCTTATAAACATGTTCAAAGGGAAGTTCTATTTACTTGGTCTTTTAATAGTAAAAAATTGCAAATAGAATCTTTACTGTAGCTATTCTCAGAGGGCCTCATTTTTGAAAACTTAAAATTCCAGCTGTTGTTAAAACTGTAAATGCATCTTTTCATTGATTCAGTACAAGCATGAGTGTTGGAAGCAATATATATGTAGTCTTATTTTAATTCTGCCATTTCTGTCACTTGATATATATCCTCTTTATTCATCTAAAAATCCTAAAATTAAAATATTTATGAAAACTTTTAAGGCTAATTGCACTTTCAGTCTGTAATTCTTGTGTGACACTATTACTATTATGAAAATTAATTTTCAAAATACATATGCCAAAGCTATGCTTGAAACATGCACATAATGTTAAATAATTTGTTTGGATCTGTAGAGAAACTTCAATTAAGTATTTCTCTGTAGGTGTGAATTTAAACATTCACAGATAAAATTCTGAACATGTTTCTACAGATACATGACTGGCTTTTTTAGTGATAGCATACATGTGTCCAGCACTCTGTCTGAGTTCATTTAGATATTCCATATGTAGAAGGTTTAATGTTTAATATCAACTTCAGGTTTTTTGAAGTTATTTGACATTACATGGGACTTTCATTTAGCAGAATAATACAGGAATTTACTTAAATCACAGTACAAGTTATATTTAGCAGAGTATAGCAGTTCCAATGTACATTTGAATCACAATACAAATGTGATTTCATTATTTGTCTCCATTGTAATGTTGGGCATCTGAAGTCATTGGAAAGGAATATGTGGGTTGAAACCAGCTCAAGTTTGTTGCTCTTTTCAAAGTTCTTTCTATTACTTGTACAGTTTTTATACTATATACGCTATACTGAGTCTTTATACTCAGTTTTAGCTCTGTAATGAGTTTTTATTCTCAGTTTGGCTGAACCACATATACACCCACCCATTTTGGCCTTGCTAACTCAGGAATATATGTATTTGCTGCTTTTGCTTATTAGTATTACCAACTTGAGGGCAGTTGCACAGCCATTTGTTTCCCTCAACTATTGTAGCCATTTATCTAGAACAAAGACTACCTCCTTTGTCTCCTTTGTGCTGAGATAATTTCAGCTTTTTGAAACAGTTTGTCATCAGTCATTCCCTAATTCTTCACTTAGCTTTGTGAGTACATAGTCCTTGCTTTTCTCTTCTGAGCTTCCTTCCATTGTAGGAGCTAATTGATCAATCAAAACATGAAGTGTTTATTTTTTTTTTTACTTGAAAAAGAGAACTTTTCTTTAAGATAAGTTTTTTGACATTGTGTGTAAACACACTTCATTGTTCAATAATTCCATCATTTATATTGTAGGTCATGCAGGAGTCTCTGCAAGCATGATGAAGAAAAGAACCTCCCACAAGTAAGTTGCCAATATCTTTCCTAAAGTATAGTTCTCAATAACTGGAGGTACTGTTCTAGAAATATATCTGTATTGTTCCACTCATTTTGCTCTTGAAAATCATGTGGAATAGTATTCAGTGTATGTGTGTAGAGTCACACATTAATTATTTTAGGAGGACAGTGGGAAAGAATGTACCATTGGTAGAGTTCTAAGCATAATTTTGAATGTTACTCTGAGAGAAATTATCCTGTCGATACAATTATGTAATTTATACCAGAGACAAGAGGTTGCAAGCTGGAAATTTGGGGGCACATGTACTCTAGGATTCATTAGAGCTTTAGTTTTTGAAGAGGATTTTTCACCTTTTTTTTTTTTAATAATAAAGAACATACTGAAGTACTTGTATAAGGCAGCTGCTATTTGAAGGATACTTGCTTATCCTATACATTCATGGCATGTATTCTCTCTACTACATTTTGAAATAGTACCAGCTAAATGCTGCTATGAGTAAATGTGAGAACATAGAGGTAATAGCTTAGACATGATTGACCTTAGCTAGATGTTGCATTTGGCTCCATCTCTGGTAGGTGAACTCTAAAATAAGCTGTGGGAAAGTGAAATTTATTAAAATGCTACTAGTTATATTTTGAGTATGAAGTCCTATAGTGGTGATATACAATATGCATAGATCCAAAGCAATTTGTCTGGCAAAAATATGTTCTGTGATTAACATTTAAATTAGTATTAATTGTTTCCCAGATACAACACCTGATGTAAAACTACTCTAATTCCTTCCACAAACTCTTCACTATTCAGTCTTGTCTATCTCCTTACAAGGCAAAGATAAACATTTATTTGTCTAGAGACAGGTAGAGTTAAAACTTAATTTCTCTTGTTCTTTTTCAACCGCTCAGAGAAAGGAGTATATGATGGGAAGACTATCAGAGGTGGGTTGCCTTTTGTACTTGAGGGTGGCTAGATTTATCTTAATTCTTGTGTTGATATACACTTATTTAAATACCTAAATAGGTTGTATATTTTAGCATAAAGGCTTTTATGGGGCATGTTAAGTCATGGTCCTAAGTCACATGATTTTGAGGCATTTAACTTAAGCCCCAACTGAGTTTTATATTAATTTAGCCTAATTTAATTGTTTAAGAATTGTTTGCCATAAGTTTTCTTTTGTACCAAACCAAGATGACTTTGTGTGCTGTCACTGACTTCTCTGAGAATTAACAGTAAGTAGAGCTGTAGACATGTTTATAGTAAACAAGTGGGATATGAATCACTAATTAAAATGTATGCTGATATTACTATGAGCTGTTACAGCATACTATGAATAAGTAATGCATCCTTTGTCATTGATTTAGTTATGATGACTTTTGCATTCCTCACTTAAAGAAAAAGAAGAGCAAGTCTATTGGCACTTAAGGGCCATAGGGGAGATTCTAAACTAGGTTCAGAAATTCATAAAGGAGGGAAGAACCAACAGGATGGAACAGAGTGTTGTGGTTTAAACAGAGCTGGTAACTAAATACCACACAGCCGCTTGCTCATCCTCCCCCCACACGCTTCCCCCCTTTGTGGGCAGGATGGGGAGGAAAATTGTAAGAATGTAAAACCCGCAGGTTGAGATAAGAACAGTTTAATAACTAAAATAAAGTAAAATATAGTGATAATAGAAAGAATACCAACAATAACAATGCCAATAATAATAATAGGAAACAACAAAAAAATAAATGAAAGCACAGGAAACACAAGTGATATACAATACAGTTGCTCACCACTCGCTGACTAATACCCAGCCTGTCCTGGAGCAGTGATCGATCCCTTCTGGATAACTCCCCCCAGCAAGTGCTACTGAGCAACAACTAAAACAGTGGGGTGTCATCAGCACTGTTCTCAGATTAAATGCAGCACTGTCATTAACATTGTTCTCAGACTCAACACAGCACTGTACCAGCTACTAGGAAGAAAAACAACTGTTATAGCTGAAACCAGGACAATATCCACTCCTTATTCCATACCATTTGCGTCATGCTCAGATCCCACACTTCCTAAATATACCATCACTTTTCCTGTCTCTTCATATATATATATATAAACACATGCACACACAAACACAGATATCATTCCTTAGTCCATGGACCAGCCCTATAAAATTAGTTGACTTCATTCAGTCCATAATGTCAGGCTTCATCTGTCCGTCAGAGAAGGAGAGATGGTGTAGGGTGTTCTACTGTTGCCTGCTGATGTCAGTTCTGACATCATCAGTGCTGAGCTGATTGGTTTCATCAAAGTTTATTCTTTGTTAGGGTGATGATCAAAAGGAAGTTGTGTTCCATCGCTTCTGATCTCAGAACAGTACTGGGAAACTCCTGCTGCTGCTGGCTTTCCATAAATTTATTCTCTGCTGATGATCATGACAGCATATATGTTTTTTCAAAGTCTAGAGTGGCAGAGATAGGAATATAGCTGCCTTAGAAGTGTTAGATAGCAGTCAACAGCATATCATTGATTTAATTGGCTGTATTCACACAAAATTAAACCCCCTTGAGGTACACGGTGGAATTTCCTATCTTCCTGCATTGACTGCCAAGTATATCCATGTCCTTGAGTGAAAGGAATCCCAGGAGTGGGTTTGCCTTTACCTGAAGCAGGAATAACCCAGACTGTCTTCCTCAACAAATTCTTTATCTGCACCACGGGAACTTTATCCCCTTCTACAGTATGTAAAAGTTCTGACTGGGCTGGGCCAGCCCTCTAGGTAGATTCTCCGGTGTTGACCAACCAGGTGGCTTTTGGTAAATATGTATCCCAATGTTTGAAAGTCCCAACACCCATTGCTCTCAGTGTAGTTTTTAACAGCCCATTGTACAGTTTGATTTTCCCAGAGGCTGGTGCATGGTAGGGGATGTGATATACCCACTCAATGCCATGCTCTTTGGCCCAAGTGTCTATAAGGTTATTCCAGAAATGAGTCCCATTTTCTGACTCAGTTCTTTCTGGGGTGCAGTGTTGCCTCAACATTTGTTTCTCAAGGCCCAGGATAGTGTTCCGGGCAGTGGCGTGGGGCACGGCATATATTTCCAGCCATCCGGTGGTTGCTTCCACCTTGGTAAGCACATGGCGCTTGCCTTGGCAGGTTGGTGGGAGTGTGATATAGTCAATCTGTCAGGCCTCCCCATATTTATACTTCAGCCATCGTCCTCCATACCAAAGAGGCTTTAACCATTTAGCTTGCTTAATTGCAGTGCGATTAAGAGTCGTGAATAACCTGGGCAGTAGTGTCCATTGTTAAATCCACCCCTTGATCACAAGCCCATCTATATTTTTCATCTCTACCCTGATGGCCTAAAGTGTCATGGGTCCACCAGGCCAAAAATTATTCACCCTTATGTTGCCAATCTAAGTCCATCTGAGCCACTTCATTCTTATCAGCTGTATCCACTTGTTGGTTGTTCTGGTATTCCTCAGTGGCCCAACTCTTGGGTACATGAGCATCAACATGGCATACCTTCACCACGAGATTCTGCACCTGGGGAGAGATATCTTCCCACAGTGCAGCAGCCCAGATGGGTTTACCTCTGCATTGCCAGTTGCTTTGCTTCCATTGCTGCAACCAGCCCCACAGGGCATTTGCCACCATCCATGAGTCAGTATTGAGATAAAGCTTATTGTGTAATTAAGTGCAGCCCCCTTACTCCATGTAGCATCGGTAGCATGATATGTAGATGAAACCCTGACTTTGAACATCCAGCCCAGCATGGGCAACTGGGGTGCCAGGAGGAGCTGTGTTTCAGTGCCAATCGCTTCTGAAGCAGCTCAAACCCCTTCATGGGCTGCCAGTATCTATTTTTCAGTTGGGGTATAGCTGGCCTCAGATCCTCTGTCTCTTGACTTTTAGTCTCTTCTGGAGCTTTCTACCAGAGACTGCAGGTAGGACCATTCTCCCTGGCTGCGGTGTAGAGTACATTTTTTACATCTGTCCTGGTCCGGACCAATCCAGGGGCTACTGCATGAACTATCTCGCGTTTAATTTGCTCAAAGGCTTGTTGCTGCTCAAGGCCCCATTTAAAATCATTCTTCTTCTGGGTCACATGATAGAGAGGGCTTACAGTCGAACTGTAATTTCAGATTTGCATTCTCCAGAACCCCACAACACCCAAGAAACCTTGTATTTCTTTGTTATTAGTTGTTGGAGAAATTGCTGTTATCTTGTTGAGCACATCTGTGGGGATATGTCTATGTCCATCTTGGCTGGAGACCAGTAAGGAGTGGTGTCCCTCAGGGATCGGTGTTGGGACCGGTCTTGTTTAACATCTTTGTTGCTGACATTGAGAATGGTATTGTGTGCGCCCTCAGGAAATTTGCCGATGACACCAAGCTGTGTGGTTCAGTTGATACCCTGGAGGGAAGGAATGTCATCCAGAGGGACCTTGACATGCTTGTGAGGTGGGCTGATGCCAACCTTATGAAGTTTAACCATGCCAAGTGCAAGGTCCTACACCTGGGCTGGTGTAAGCGGCGAGGAGAAGCAGACAGGCCAACCCAATATGGGTGATAAGCAACTTCTCCTTTATTTGTGACGCAGTTCACACATATATAGGAGTGGTATTCAGCCACTCCTTCTTGGCACAACAGTATTGGTTAGCCCCCCACAGCTTCCTCCACATTCTCCTCCCAGGTCCGGTCTCCGGCTACCTGTGGGGGCCACCCCCTGCCTTGCTTGCACAGTCCTCCAGAACTCTATGGTTCTGCTCTTAGAGTCATTCTGCAACAATTCCCCCCTTTTTCTTTGTGCAAGCAAGGCATTATGGGTTATTCTGTTCACCTGTTTTATCACACAACTATAAGCAAGTCTAATAGCTACGATGATTAACCTAACAATGATACATAAGTGCAATACTTCAAACAACAGTGTTTGACTCAACCTGTAATGCCCCGTGAAGACAACCATCTAGTTATTAGGATATTGCTCATTTACTATTGCTGGGTAAGCTAAGCCAGGGTTCTCA